GCATTGGGTTGGGATGTTTTCGTGATGCACATTTTCTTTACATAAAACTCTCTCTTATACATGAGTCACTGTGGATTTGTTTCTCCAAAGTACCTACACTAATACAGCGTTTCTATATGGAGATTATACAAAATTTTTTTAAAAATCTAATTTTTAAGAATCATAATTTATTTTTAAGAATATATCACTTTTATAAATACAAATGACATACCTAGTTATTTAAATACACAAATATACATCTTATATAATAGCTATAGTATGAGAGTCTAGAAAATGAAAAGAATATATTTGTAAAACTTAGAAATAGTTTATATATTGACTTGCCTGCATCTTGGGTAGTAGCTGGTAACGCCAAGCTATTTTCATCTCAATATTAGATTCTGGCGTTTTATCATTACATGAATCTTCATCAAATTCCTTTTTACAATGATTATCAAGTAATGGGGCAGGAAGTTCCTGAGAAAAAGAATGACACATTATTAACTATGGTTAAAAAGAAAAGAAAGTTTTCTTAAATCATAATATCAGCAATACTAGAACTTTCCAATTTATAAAAACTGGATGCCTTAGAAATTAATGGAAACATAAAGCTTAGGACAGTAGAACTGCCCCATGGAGTTTCCAAGGTTGTAAAATTTCAAAGAAGCAATCTGCCACATCTTGTCAATGAGCAGCTGAGCACATTGACCACTATACCATCAGGACAAAGGTGCATATCATTTAATGTGGAGTTAGCAGTAAAAAAGAATTTACAAAGAGTATTCCAAAATTTACTCTATATTCATAAAAATCAACTGTTATTACGATCAGGCGCAATTTCCTTAAACAAATTTATATACTTAAAGCACAGTCTGGAATTAGCACTTACACATTACATGTAATTATTATTATGTTTGCCACTAGGTAAAAATAAAGCATGTGCACAATCTGTTTACTGGTTTGTAATTCTAGAATTCAAAAAACTCATTCACCGAAATAATGGGTGAAGTAACAACTAAGAATAAAGACATTTATTTTGCCCATATCAAATGTTAGTTTTGCACCTGCAAGCTTATGTATTTTCCTTAACAATGAAATAGATTCTCAACTCTCTGACTCAAATGAAGACATTGCATTCTAATCTTACCATTTCTTTTTTGGTATGTTTATCTACATATACAAAACTTATTTCTGGAGGGGTACCTTATAAATATTATAGAAAAAAGAGTGCATTAATTAATTGGAGGAGGAAAGTGCATGCAATAATTTTGTTCTAATTTGATTAGCTCAGTGGTCCTCAACCTTCCAAATGCCGCAACCCTTTAATACAGTTCCTCATGTTGTGGTGACCCCCAACCATAAAATTATTTTCGTTGCTACTTCATAACTGTAATTTTGCTACTGTTATGAATCGGGCGATCCCTGTGCAAGGGTCATTTGACCCCCAAAGGGGTAGTGACCACAGGTTGAGAACCATTGGATTAGCTAAAATAATGTGGGATACTGAATTTGCAAATGTAATTTTGTGGTACATAATAAATTAGTCATATGTGTAACTGTCATTTCAAGATAAAATTTACTTTTGGTTAGAGTCACGCCAATCAGTTGGTAAATATAAGGGGGTTTCAAAAAGTTTGTGGAAAAATGGAATTAAAACAATGTAATTTTTACAAGAACTTTTTGAAGGCCTTTCATATGTGAACTATTATAATTTTATTTACCTCCTGAAAGACTTTAAAAGGAGGTCACACAATAATTTATGCCAGTTCCAAAAGGAACTAATTGTGTCATTTAAGTTCTGGACAATTATTCCTAAGAAAGTATTAGTATCTTATGATATATAAAGTTCTTTTTCCAATAGAAATACATATTTGTGAGGCCACATCATGAGATACAGGAGAAAGATGAGGCTTTCTACTCTTGTAAGAAGTTACATTCTTGGAAACCCACAGGGAGCAAATCTGCCCTGTCCTATAGTGTCACCATGAGTCAGAACAGGCTTGATGGATGTTGAGTTTTGAGTTTCTGGTCTGACTGAGCACTGTGTTACAAGCTTGAATTCTGCAACCAGATTTTCTAGTTTCATGTCTTGACTCTGGACTAGGAGCTGTATTGGTTTGCCCTGACCTCTCTCTGTTTCCATTTTATCATGAGAAAAACAGACATTATAGTATATACCTCATTGAAAAAATAAACTATAACATGGAGAAAATGGGTAGTGGTGGCGTGTGCTGTTTATTTCAACTCATAGGGACTATAGATTGGGCAGAGCAGCACTGCCCCGTACTGTTTCTTAGGCTGCAATATTTGTAAGAGTAGATCACTAGGTCTTTTCTGCCGTGCGACACAGCTGGTGGGATCAAACCACTGACTGGGGAGCAGCCCAACACTCAACCACTGTGTCACCAGGGATCCTTTTATAACACCTTAGGTACAGTAGAAAAGGAGAGCACTAAAGAGTACTAGGTGAGTTTTATCATTTAAATTAAGGGGCTTTGAAAAGTTGGTGGAAAAATGGAATTAAAAAAATCATGGATTTTTCTCACATTCTTTTTGAAGCCTCCTCATAATTCTCTATTGTTCCCAATTGCGTTGTCATTTGTTATAGCATAGTGAATTACTTAAGGTGGTTCTTCTAACCATAGTCTGAAATTCTGGGAAAGAAGGTCGAGAAAGACATCGATAGGATTCAGTTGTTAACAAGATTCCCTTGCACTTGCCATCCTGGTGGTTATAAAATGAGGTCAACTCAGAAGCAGGGCATGAGATGGAGTGGCAAGGGGGTGGCGAGTGGGGCAGTAGATCATTTCACTAACAGCAAGAGTCGGACAGTGAACTTCCGGGATACTAGAGGAACAACAGCTGAGCAGAAGCCGCAGAACCAAGAGCTAGAGCGGTGGACTTCCCAGCCCGCAGAACAAGTAAGTATAAGTGGAGTTGAATATTGGGGGTAGGAGGTTGGTTTGTGGGCTGGGTGCCTCTGGGTACTTAATTTGAGGAGCTGGAGGTGAGTGCCTTCAGGGCGAGGCTTACCATGGCATGGTCCGCCCTTTGCGCATTTCTTAGCAAGTCTAAAAACTTTTTGTAATGTGTCCTGACTGAGCAACTCTATTCTGGGCATTTCCACCTGAGTTGTAACTTGTGAAGTTCCATAATAAAGTCCATTATCATGAGCACTCTCGGAGTTCTGTGTGGCCATTGCAATGAATTACAGAACTCAGTAGGAGACGGTGAGAAAAGTAGAGTGTTGTGTGGTATCTGTGTTAAAATTTTTGGCATTTCATCCTATGCAGCTTTATTTCATGATATCTAATCTCATCTCTTCTCATTTTCCTATCAAGAGTGCTAATTTCTTGAGGGCTAGGGACTTCATCTTACATGCTTTGGACATATGGTCAGGAGAGGCCATTCCTTGGAGAACGGCATCATGCTTGGTAAAGTGGAGGGGTGGTGAAAGAGAAAGGCCCTTTATGAAAGGGATTGACATAGTGGCTGCAACAATGAGCTCAGACACAGGAACAATTGTGAGGATGGTGCAGGAGCGGGCAGTGTTTCAGTCTGTGGTGCACAGCGTCACTATGGGATGGAATTTACTTGATGGCACTTCACACAACAGGAACTACATTGTAATATGTATTTGTATTTCTTATAAACCCACTACAATAACAAGCACGCAGATACTCAATCGATAAAATACTTGCTGAACTGAACCAAACACACTTCAGGAAGAATCAGTGGATATGTTTTCTGTTATATTTAAGGAAATTAATACCACGGCTTTCCTTAGGCTTCTTATGTTCCAGGTGTTATGCTTTTTGTATCCCTACTGAGTTATAATTTCTTCTCAATACAAGTTATAAGTACATGTTTTCCATTTTGGTGTGTAATATTCGACTTTTGCTTCATCTCACAATCCATATGAGCGATAGATTTTTAAAACACAAAATTTCTTATCAATGTTTGCTGAAACTAAAGTTTTAAACAATTTTTGGCACTACATAAATAATGGTGATCCTTATAAAAATGAGCTTATTCATTTTATAAGTGGTAAAAATTTACCAAAGAAAATTGTAAGCTCAGTTTTCTGTCCACACACCCAAGCCCCAAGGCTGCTCATCTTGAAAATGGAAAGAATGCACTACAGAGGACAGCACTGAAGATACAGCCCAGGGAGAGTGAAAGTGACAGGTCTGCCCGCCACACAGGAGCGAACTAACAGGGGGAGGGGGTTGGGGTGGGGAGAGAGAGAGAGAGAGAGAGAGAGAGAGAGAGAGAGAGAGCGCGCATGCGCCACATCCTGGCCCACCAACCCCGGAAGACGACACTCCTGCTAGGAGCAGCCAATACGAATAAAAGTCAAACATGACAGTGGGACAGGAGGAAAGCAAATGGAAATAGAGTACAGGACTAGTAGGCAAAAGACATTTATAGAGGTATAAATATAGGAATGTATATGTGTAAATATATTAGTATATAACAGGGATATAGGCTTATGTACATATACCAGAACCTATATGTTAAGTATTAAGGTAGTATATGGACATTAGGCCTCTACTCAAGTACTCCCTCAACGCAAGAACACTGTTCTTACTAATGACCTGGCATTCTGTGACACTCACCTTCCCTACACCATCGCTGAAGTCAAAATGGTGTACAAACAAATGTGGTGAAGAAAGCTGATGGTGCCTGGTTATTAGAAGATGTGGTGTCTGGGGTCTTAAAGGCTTGAAGTTAAACAAATGACCATCTAGCAGAGAAGCAACAAAACCCACATGAAAGAAGCACACCAGTCTGTATGATCACAAGGTGTCAACAGGATCAGGTATCAGGCATCAGAAGACCCAAAACAATCATACCAGATGCAAACGATCAGGGCCAGAGTGGAGACACAAAACCCATCTGTAGCCAATTGAACATTCTCTCACAGAAGGGTCACAAGGAAGGGAGGAGTCAGCCAGAGTGCAGTATAGCACTGATGAAACACATAACATTCCTCTAGTTCTTTAATGCTT